GTTGTGGGGTGAGTTAGATCAGTGTGGGGTAGAAGAGACACACAGCCAAGCCTTTCTTTTACTGGTCATGTTTATCTTTGTGCAAATATAGTGTTGTGCATTCAAAAACTAGGTAAGTTAAAGCGCAAGAGGATAAACGCAGCCTACTAGCCTTTTCTGCTGTGGAAGTTTCCTGTAATAACGTCTGCCCACGTTTCTTCCAGATGCGTTCTAAGAAGGGAACACCATATGTCACAGAGCTTTCAGCACAAACCCTAGCACCTGCACTGAGCTTAGAGGAAAGTGTCACCCAAGTCTAAACCCAGAGATCAGAGCCACACGAGCCACACCTGAGGCCGAAGTGCTGTTCAGTGGTTCTGGGGTGAAGCTACAGTTGGCACAGGCACACAACAGGGCTGGGCACCCACAACCTCTGAGAGGAAAGGGAAGAGGCCAGAACAACAGATTCACTGTCGTTCAACAGCAGGCAGTAACAACACCACAGCAAGCTCACTGACTGACAAGACGGTCAACAACACAGCACCTGTGCTCTGGTCTCCATCTTTTCACCCTCAAATAAGTTTAACACAGAAGTCTTCCGCATGAACTCAGCGCTGCCGTCCTCTTCCCAGCATACAGTGAGGAAAGGAAGGGTGGCGAGCTACTTTGCCTCAGCAGCAGAACCATAGTCTGAGGCAGGAGATTAAAAACTTCACCCTGGGGCTGGAGATTTAGCTCAGCGGCATAAGCACCTGCATTGCAAGCAGGTAGTCGTGAGTTCGATCCCTGGTACCGATAAAAAGGAAAAAGACAAAAAAAAAAAAAAAAAAACTTCACCCTGGCTCTTCTTTAGATTCACCAGTGAAGTGATTTTTTTAAATGCTGCATGTAACACAAGCCCATTTCTGCTCTCCTCTAAAGAGCACAATGTACTCTGCATGCACTCCTGCATGGCCCCACGACTCTGAGGGGCTAGTGGGTCCTTGCCATACCATCTACAGGAAAGGAACTGGCAAGGCATCTGGGACCCCATGGCGTGAGCCACACCTGGAGGACAGAGCATGACCTCGACCAAGGTCCTGTCCCGCCAGGTAGAGCCAGGGCCAATGTCATCCGATGAGCACCGCTGTCAGGCATGATGTCATGGTGCTTGTAATCTGATTGATGTTAGAGACAAAAACCCAAAATAAACACTACTGACAGGCTGCCGTGACAGGTAGGCTTGGGAAACAATGGGAAAAGGAGTCAGTCCTGAAAAAGGAACAACTCTAAGGAAAAGCCTTGGTGCAGTGGAAGCCAAAAGACAGAGTAAACCTGTTCCAAAGTTTGAATAAGGGTATGATTAAAATGCTGAGATCACTATAAGAGAGACCAAGTCTTTCCAAAAGAAGTTTATAATTTTATAAGAATGATGTGGGGTGAAAATGCTATTGAAGAAGAAAAAGAAAATTCCCCATCACAGAGGAGATGAAAGTTTTCACAAGCAGGTCACTGGGGTAAGTTGTGTGAGTACCGCAAAAATGCCCATGCTAAATAAGCCAACAGCAGTCACAGGAAGGCCCTGGCACTGTGGTGTCACAGTGTAGTGCTCAGAGCCCTCTCAGGGTGCCAGGGATGCTGGCTCCTGCTGCCTGCTGCCTGCCAGCTCAGTGTGCAGGCCTGGGAGCCCGCTAGAGCACAGGAGGGACAGGCCACTGAGATGGGCATCCTCTCAGCACCAGACACATGTAAACCATTGCAATGTTCTTTACTATTGCCCTATCCTGCCACTGCCTTGTTCATTATTCGCCAACTCTATTGCTGCCTGTGCAATAAAAGGATATACAAGGTATGTTCTAGAAATTCAGTGAATGCTTACATTTTAAAAACTTTATTAAAGACACATTGCTATTAATGCTCCTCAAACTATTCCCCCTTGGTTTGCACACACTTATCCCACCTTTCTTGCCACTTTCTGCAGCAGCTTCGGAGTTCTCTTTAGTTAGCTTGTTCTCTTGTAGCTTCTCAATCCAGTCAAAACATTTATCTTTCATAGTCATTCTGACTTTGAGGAGGAGCCACAGCCGCACAGTACCAGACACAGTTGAGTAAGGTAGACGAGCACACATTGGAATGTTCTTAGGAGCCTCTGTCCTTGTAGATAGATATTCAGGAAAGAAAACTCCAGGGCTGCTTCAGAAACTGGCAAAATGATAGGCTAAGTATGTTGGAAGTGAGAGAGGGTTTCCTGAGGGGGACTAATAACAATACATCTTTTACTGTGATATGTTTTTAAAGTTTAAGCATTCATTATATGTTCTGATAACCCCTGTAGATTCTGGACCAGCAACCCAGTCTGACTTGAAGGCCACCACCTGGGCCACATGCTCAGAAAACACCCACTGCAGAATGAGTGAGACCCAGGGTTGCTCCTGGTGAAAGTAGGACTACATCATCCCAGAGTTGTAACAGGGATGTGTGAGAGGTGTGAAGCTCATCTTGAAACTGGGCAGCCTGTGAGATCCACGGGTCAGGGCTTCCCCAGCGTGATGCCCACAGTGCAGAGCTATGGTTTCAACTCCAGTTAGTGGCACACACCTGAGACCCGATAACAGTCCAGTGCAGTTGTGATGGAGGCTGTGGAAGGAATGGCAAAGGTGGCTAACCACCCTGGAACTGTGGAGTTGCAGAGACAGAAAACAACTAGCTTTGCCAGGCGTAGTGGCTCATGCCTGTAATCCCAGCACTCCGGAGGCTGAAGTGGGAGGATCGTTGCGAGTTTGAGACCAGCCTGGGCTACAAAGTGAGCTAAAGGCCAGCCTGAACTGCATAGCGAGACCCCGTCTCAAAAAAAGATTTAAAAAAAAAAAAAAAAAAGAAAAGAAAAGAAAACAACGAGCTTTAAGCTGGCCCTAGGATAAACTCTTTGAGAGAAAGCCTCAGTCATGCATAGCACATGTTAGTCAGAAAAGGTCCAGAAAAGGAAACCAATTTTTTGGCCAAGTGAATGAGTACAGTACTTTTCAGAATTCTACCAGAAAATGACATGGAAATCAACACCTGACCCACTAACATCCTAAGAAGCTGGATAAACAACCTAAGAAGGGCATCCAGTACCCACTCATCTTCCCAAAACTGACAGGGAACAGCCACGCAAAGCCAGGACTCTGCAGCCATTCCCACACTCTGGCTTGACTCAGATCCCAGGGGAGCTGGAAAGAGACATACTCTACCTGGGTGGGTAGACGGAAGAATTCTGCAAATGGCTGATTCCTGCCAAAGCCAGGCCACTCATGGCTCACCAATCCATGGCTGAGGCACTTTAATGGCTGAGAGTCCCATCTCTGCTCCACTACCAGCACATGAGCATATCCTGCCTATCCCCTGGAAGAAGCTGTACTCATGCAACCCAGGCCACCTGCTACAACCCCACCAGATGCTACCCAAGGGCAAGGAGGGCCAGGTGCATCTCACCGCCAGCCTGGACTCGGCATCTCCCAGGCCCAGGCTGGGGAAGATCCTGGCTGCATCCTGACCATCACCATGTAGAGGGCAGGTTGCCTCACTATCTGAAATACACGTGCTAGTGTCAGGAGTAGCTCCAAGACACAAGTGTAAACTCAGAGGTGCACATATTCCAGCCCTCCGTTCCCTCTGACAGGCTACCAGCAAGGGGCCTACCCTAGATACTGTAACACCTTCTCAGTTTCTGTTCCTCATCTATAAAATAGCATTACTTTGCAGGTCTCAGGTTCTGGTGAAGCCTGGGGTGAGGACTCATCTCATACTGGCTCTATTGCCTGGGGTTTCTGAGAGGAGACTTCCTATTTACAACAGAGAAAACCACCATGGCTAACCATGGCTAATGAGGCTGCCTGAGGAAACAGCTCTCCTCTTGGAAGGGTAAACTATTCACTGTAGCTACTAGATGAGGTTTCAGAAGCCGGCTCTTGACCCACAGAAGAGCTGTGGGGCATAGGCTGGAACAGCACGTGGTCCTGTGCCCTTGGGTTTCTCCTCTGGCCTCAGGACTGGACAGCATCGCAGGGGGTCTCACCCGTGACCTGACCCGAATGAAGCCAGGATGCCTGAATGCTCACAGCTGAAGATAAAGCAGCCGTTCTGGGTGCGGATTAGGGAGGAAAGCAGTGCTGAGGCAGCAGGACCAGCCCTCCCCAAATCCCATGAACAGGAGAACTGAACGACATCAGGCAAGGCCTCTACCTCTGCAGGGAGAGAATCCTCCCCGAGGACCCTGAGCCAGCTGCAGAAAGGAAGCTCTAGGACAGGGAAGTGTGTACTCAGCACACATATCACCCATGTGAAACCAGCGAAAAATAGTGCAGGAACAAGGGAACAGACAGCATGGAGAGCAGATGGGGATGCTGGGTGGGCTCTGGGGGCCACAGAGTCTGTAGCACCCACGCTCTCCCCTCCTGTCCCCTGAGGAGGTCACAAATTCCCTATCTCCATGGCACACTGTTTGTCATACTCAGGGAGCGCATTAGGGAGGAAAGCAGTGCTGAGGCAGCAGGACCAGCCCTCCCCAAATCCCATGAGCTTAGTGAGTCCCGGCTGCCGACACCAGGAACCTCAAGGGACAGCAGCCGTGTGAAGGCCTCCCTGGGGGCCTGGCTGAGCCAGCTCCTGCTAGGAGGCTCCTGACAGACTCATCTTTAGGAAAACATGGACTCCACCAAGACAATGTTGGAGTTTGCCCCTGAAAATCAAGGCCATCCACTCCACTGCCCTGAGAGCAGCTATGACTGTTTAGTGGGAGATAAGGACATCAAATATGTGAGCCTCTCTCATGGAGCTCATGCTGCTCACAAGAAGACACCTGCCGGCCAGCTGAAAAAAAGAAACTCACAAGTCCAGTGGTGAGAGGTATGCAAGTGACCCCAACTGAGGCAGGAGCAGGACTGAGCCATACATCCTAGGCCAATCCCAACCCTCACCTATAATACTGGGTCCCTCCTGAGACAGTGCAGACTGACTGAGGGAAACTCCACCCATACCTCCACCCCAATCAGGGCTTTTACCTGCTTCCCCTTCACCACGTGCTTGGGCACCGGCACCCTGACCTCCAGGTCAGTGTAGTCCTGGGACCAGGTATAGTTCTCACGGACGGCACCGTTGTAACTGTCGGGGTTTCTCTGGAACTGCTCCTGAGCCCTGAGAAAGAACAGGAAAGGTGAAACATGGCCAGGCAGACACAGGCAGTGGACCCATGGCTAGTAAAGCACCTGGCCCAGAGCCTATACCCAAGGAGTGACCAACCCAAGCTGATGTCAGGCTTGCTTACTTATGCATCTGCAAAACTCCTCACCTGGTGTGACTTCCTTTCTGACCCTTACATGGTCTTCAGGACAGCCCAGGAAAAGGGAAACGCTACAGAGAAGAAAACCCACATGTAGAACCCTCAAGCTTACGAAAAGTATCTGTGACCACTGTCAAAGATCAGCCCAGCCAGGCATGGTGGCACATGCCTGTAATCCCAGCACTCAAGAGGAAGAGGCAGGAGGATCTCTGTAAATTCAAGGCCAGCCTGGCTACATAGTGAGTTCAATGCCAACCTGAACTGCACAGTAAAACCTTGTCTCAAAAAATTGAAAACAAAAAACAAAGATCAGCCTAGACATGCCACAGTGCTCAGCTACAGACCTGTGACCTAGCCAAATGCCCACAGGCACTCAAGTTTCCTATAAACTGTGTAGAAAGGCCAGCTTTTTATTTTGGTACTGGAACTCAAACTCAGGACTTCAAGCTTGCCAGGCAGGCACTGTTTCACTGAGCTAAATCCCCGACCTTGGTTTTTCTTTTTTTTTTTTTTAATTGATTTTATTTAAAGAAAGACTAAACAAAACAGAAAACAGGTAGAAATAATACATACTTTCAAAGAAAAATAAACAGTAAGAAATCACTAGTTAATGATTACATATTGTCCTCTTACAAATAGTTGTTCAAGTTACAAAAGTGAAGCATACAAAGTGGAAGTGGTCACTCAAACAGCGAGACGGCAAACAGTTCTGTTCAACTGTCCAACAAAAACTTAGTAATACGGTTATCAATCCTATACACTTTAAAATATACATGCAGTTATCCATGCCTTCATTTATGCTAAGATTAAACAAACAAAAGCAGGCTAAAATCACTCTGAACAAAGAATAAAAGTATTGCTGGATTTCACATCACGACACTACGGGATCAGCACTGGGTACTGTAGTATCTCTTTTTCTTCAAAATAGTTGTTCATTTCATCATGCGTTATAAGATCAGTTCTTGTAAACTATTTATAGGTTCTACACATGCATGAGTCTCAACATGTATTTCTATCCTTTCTATATTAGAGGGAGAAAGAAAACAAAGCAAGACAAAACAAAACATATTCCTATAAACACATGAAATGAAAAAGTCATATAAAACCACTGTACAAGTAGTTCTACCATGGCTACTATGTTGTCTCTTGTTATCTTCAATAGAATTGTCTATATCATCAGACATAGTATAATTGAATATAGCAGTACATAACAATATTAATAAAAATAAAACTTTGTAAATAGTATAAAACTTCAAAAACAGGTAATAATCAAACCAGAATGGGTATCATAGTGAATCTTGTCATCTTCAGTGTAGTGGCCTATACTCTCAGACTTGACACTATCAATCATAACAGTTTTGAATAAAATCTGTCAATACCAGACAGCAGTCAAACCAGATTTAACTAAGATCAGTCATGGTGAAACAGTATAAGTTATACAGGGCTCCAGATTAAGTTAATAGGAAATAAAGGATGATTACTGTACTATATCCTGTTACTTTTGGGACAGCTGTCTGTGCTCTCAGATCTAGTGCAAGTAGACAAACTGGGACAGAATATAATCTATCTAAGCAGAGTAGTGTGAATAATGTGGGTTTTAAATCCTGATACACTATTAACAATATCCTCTGCCTTCTTTTTTAAGACTACTCCTCCCTTTCACTCCCCCAGGGTACACTATGCATTTTTGGGTCTCATCACTTCCCTCAGTTTTTAGATTGGGAGAGGGGGAACCTGCTACTTACCTAAGTGGTTTCAAACATTCTCCCTCCTGGACTGATCTCAAGTTGTATTCCTTTACCTATTAAAGCCTGTCTTTCCAATCTATCTGCAGGTGCTGGTTGAGTTGCCCCTATTATTCTCTGGTTCCCTGTCACATAGAGCACTGTTTTCTCATATTTGATCTTCGCTCTGTAAACTCTTTTTCAGGTTAATTATATTTCCTATAAGGAGCCTCAGTGGACCCTACCTCCTGATCTACTCTGCCAGTGTCTCTTTTTTTTTTCTTTCTTTCTTTTTTTTAGTGTGTCAAAGACCATCTATATTAGAGATTATAGCCAACTTTCTCTGCCTCATTTCTGTTGTGCCCTTTTTCTGCCTTTAGTTGTCTGCTTTTCTCCTTCATTCCCCTTTCTGCTCCATTCATTGAGGCCTCTCTGTCACTGTTCCTGAAATCCTGGTACTGTTCTCTCTCTAGAATGTCCTTCAGTATTCTCTATAGGGTTGGATTGCTGGTCGTGAATTCCCCCAGTTCCTCTTTGTCTTGGAAGCATCATATTTCTCCATTAATTTCTAGAGACAGTTTTACAGGGTACATCAATCTGGGCTGCAAGTTATTTTCTTTCAGGGCTTGGAATACTTCGCTCCAAACTTTTCTTGGTTTGATGGTCTGTGTCGAGAAGTCTGCTGTGATTTTGATGGGTTTTCCTTTATAGGTGATCTGTTTCTTTTCTCTGATGGCTTCTACTGTTCTGTTGTTATAGTGTATTTCTGAGATCTTATTATATGTCTGGGTGTGGCTCTGCTTCGGTTGTAGGTGGCTGGAGTTCTGTATGCCTCATACATCTGAATAACATTTCCTTTTCCTATGCTTGGGAAGTTTTCCTTAATTATTTCTGTGAATAGCCTTTGTAGTTCCTTTGTTTGTACCCCTGAATGTGAATCTTCATTCACATTCTTTATTCTTAAGTTATAGATCCTCTTGTCGTCTTCTATCCTTTGTATTATTGCAGCCTGTTTTATTGTTATTTTTAAGAAATTTTCCTTCCATGATCACACATTGCAAACCTGTCTTCAAGTTTTGATAGTCTATCCTTAGTTTCTTTCAAACAGTTTTGCCAGCTTTCAATGGAGTTTTTTATTTCCTGGTAATGTCTTTGAAGCTGCTTCATGTATTCTATGTTTTCTTTACATTCTTAACGTTTCTCTCCTTTTTTTTTGTTCCTCCATTCTTCCATCTGTGTTTTGAGAGGTGCTTAGCATTTCTTTTATTAATCTATTTATATCTTGCTTTACTTGATTAATTATTTCACTTTTGAGCTCCTCTATGAGGTCCCAAAGATATCTCCTTATGTTCACTGATGCCATGCCTGGTATTGCATGTTTGCTGCCCTCGGTCTCTTTTGTATTTATCTCTTCTGGATCAATGTTCTCAGGGATGGGGGCTGGGGACTTTTACTTGTTTCTTCCTTTTGTCACGTTTTTTGTTTCTTCTATACGGGTGTATAGAGGAGGTCCCAGTCCCTTTCCTTGTTGGTTATAGTTCTTCTGAAGTGCACTGGCTAGGTATTCCTGCCCACTCCAGTGTGTTATTGAGGTACAAACAGGGGTGACATATGCTGGCTCCTCCCCTCTGGATCAGTCAACCTGCTGAGGCTTTCACTATGTTGGTGTGCGCTGTGTAGGGAATTGATTTGGGACAACTTATTAGGTCTCAGCCAGAGGCATGACCCAGGCCAAACATACCGCACCAATCTCGTCTGGGAAGGGAACAACTGACTGAAGTCACTGTTGTTCCTTGTTCCTGCCAGTCCTGCCCAATTCCAAAATGTCTTCCCATTTGTGCCCTTTTCCCAAGGAAGGGTCTTACTCCCAGCACTCACCAGAGGTCAATGCAGGTCCCTTGCTGGCTCCATTCTCCTTTGGGCTCGCCGACCTCCCACATCAACGCAACTGCACTTCAGTGTGACTGCAGTTCCAGGGAGTCAAAGCAGTGGGAAGTTGGGCGGCTCGATGAGTCACAGCCACGTGAGTTCGGGCACTGCATTAAGAGCACCGAATCTTAGCTGCTCCAGTAGTAGCCCCAGGACTGCATGTTTGACGGGTTCTTTTTCCTTTAGTTTTTTTCTGGGTCGAGAAGATCCATCTGCCTCTGTCTGGGCCTCCCCATGCTGTTTTATTTCGGCATCTGAGTTGCCTGTCTCAGAGAGTCTCTGTATTCTGCTCTTATCTATCCGCCATCTTTGCTGGATGGCTGACCCTGGTTTTTGTTTTGAGGCAGGGTCTTCTATATAATTCAGACTGGTTTTGATCTTACTATGTCCCTCAGGCTTGTCTCAAGATCGCAGCAATTTTCCAGTCTTATGCTCCTAAGTGTGGGGCAACCTTTCTTTAAAAAAGCAAAACAACTTTACTTGCAGCTGCTTAACTTCAATTCTACTCTAACTTGAGGCTGTATATTCTCCAAGAAAGCAATTCAAAACTAAAGGGCCTGAGCCAGGCGTGGTAGCACACACCATCCACTACCCAAGAAGCTGAAGCAGGAGGATTCTTGGGTATTTAAGACCAGCCTGGGCTACAAAGTGAGCTCAAGAAGAAAAAAAAAAACTAAAATCATAAGCCTGCACTAAAGTCATAAGCATCCTTAGTAAAAACATAGATGATATATTCAATGAGGTGAATCTAAGAGTCTGGTCAACCAAATCCCACTGGAATCGTCCACCACAGACATAGCACACACAGACAGGTTGAGCCACGACAATGTGCTAAAAACAAAGTACAAGCATAAAATTGTATCATGAGTTTAGACTCAAGTCCACTAAGTGAGTTAAGAATCTAAATCACAGAAAAAAGCCTCATTTTGTGGAGAAGGTAGCCACATGGAACATTCTGCAGTGGGTTGCACTCAGCCACCTTCTCCAGCCTGCCCAGAGACCAAGAGGAGGAGACACATCCCAGCAGCCCTACAAACAACACGCGCACTTCACTTGCTTGAAGAGCACGAGAAACTTCCTGTGTCTCCATCAGTGCTGATGTAGACCTAATGCAAGGGTGGGAAAGTTTTGAGACAAAAGAATGTACCCTGAGTGACTGGGCCTCCCTCATGGTCCAAACTGTCTGGGTTAGGTGTGGCTTG